ATGGATAGAAGGATGGATGGATAGATAGATAGATAGATAGATAGATAGATAGATAGATAGATAGATAGATAGATAGATAGATAGATAGATAGATAGATAGATAGATAGATAGATAGATGATGGATGGATAGAAGGATGGATGGATGGATGGATGGATAGAAGGATGGATGGATGGATGGATGGATGGGTGGATGGATGAATAGACAGACAGACAGACAGACAGACAGACAGACAGACAGATAGATAGATAGATAGATAGATAGATAGATAGATAGATAGATAGATAGATAGATAGATAGATAGATAGATAGATAGATAGATAGATAGATAGATAGATAGATAGATAGATAAATAGATAGATGTATTGGGTGGATGGATGAATAGCTGAAAATATGGATGGACAGATGAAAATGGATTGAGGAATAATTGAATATAAACTGTAGATGGATAGACAGACAGATGTTCCTCTGCTCCTCCATCAGTCGCTCTACACAGCCCAGACAGCAGGAGACTCACAAACAGTTGAAGGTCATCAGCCAGAGAGCATCACGGGAATCACCATGACTGACACACACACTGACCAATCACACGCCAGATAAACCCTGCACTCTGATAGGCTCATTCAACACCTGACTGACAGATGGGGAGGAGCCAGTGAGGTCTGCATCTCCTAGTATGTGTGCTGATGTGTGTACTGTAGTGTACAGCCTGTATATCTCTCCTCTCCTCAATCCTCTCAGTGATCACTCTGCTCCTCTGCACCTCCAGTCTGATCTATCAGCTGATCACCTCCACATCCACACACACGCTCGGTTTTAGAGTAAAAACGGGTCTATAAAACTAGGAAAAACACAGTACTTCATATAAACAGACGGCTTTTATTAATCTGTAACTGTCTATTACTGATAATGTGCTGTTAGATTGACTTCATCATTAACACTTTAAAGCGATGCTGAAATGATTTTGTGCTCGTCTCTTCTCGTCGTCATTTTCTCCTCAGTTTTTCTACGCCTGAAGATTATAGCTAGTTTCATTTATTTTCGCAGTTCAATTTACAAAATAAATCAGCTATATAATGGGGCAGGCAATGACGCAAGGCCATGGCTGTGTGTGAGCACAGATTCGTGTTCTTGTGGTGAGCGGTCGCTCTCGCAGATTGCCTTGGAGGAGCAAACTCTAACTGTGAGAACACAGAACACATGTGAGAAATGAGATGCTGCGAGCTTCCTGTTGATCACATGACCTTCACACCAAAACAATTACATCTTTGATAAAAGTGTGCTTTTTTATTTGAAGTGAAAATGTATAAATATTTAAGCACTAAAGCACTGCTGATGAAGATAAGTGTAAAATGCAAATAAAAATGATTTAAGCAAGAAAACGCCAGGTTGTGGGGCCACCTAGTGGCGGCGGGGCCCTAAGCAGCCGCTTAGTACGCTTATCGCAGGGACGTCCATACTCGGTCCTGGAGAGCCGGTGTACTGACGAGTTTAGCTCCAACCCTAATCAAACACACCTGAACAGCTAATCAAGCTCTTACTAGACATACTACAAACTTCCTGGCAGGTGTGTTGAGGCAAGTTGGAGCTAAAGTCAGCAATATGTGCACACACACACATTAACAAACACACCTGTGCACACATGCACGCACATACACAAACACACAGACACTTTCACACACACTTACATGACAAACGCACTCACACACATGCAGACACAATAAACGCATAACAGGGTCCAACGCTAAGGATTCTTTCTACTGGCCCGATCCGATTTTTACTTGCCCAGCCAAAAAAAAAAGAAGTTAATAGCTATTTGATAGTATGTGTGTGTGTGTGTGTGTGTGTGTGTGTGTGTGTGTGTGTGTGTGTGTGTGTGTTAAAATTTTAAATTACTGCTTTCTTATTGTATGCAGTTTCGAATAAAATCATTATTCCAGACATTATTGACATTATTATTACCATTAATAGCAATAATATTAATATTAATGATAACAATAATAATTAATATTAGTGATTTCTGAAGGATCATGTGACTCTGAAGAGTGTAGTAATCAAGCTGAAAATTTTACTTTAAAATCACTGGAATAAATTATGAAATGAAATGGTAAACAACTTTTGAACAGTTAATTTATAATGCAACATTTCACAATTTTGCTGTATTTATGATTTAATAAATGCACCCTTGCTGAGCAGGAGAAGCTTATTTTAACATGTTGAACAATCATACTGACCCCACACTTTTGAGCAGCTGTGTATAGAGTATTTTATAAGCGAAAATGTGCACTTTAATTTTAACAACTGTAGCGAGTCTACTGATGCCCCGTCGCCCTGGTCACAAATTCAGCCCAGCTGGAACCTCATCAGCACCGGATCGCTCACAGCTGGACCTCATCAGCCAGGGAGAGATAAAAGCCAGCCCCACACAGGAAGAAGGTGCGCTTCATTTCCACATGACTCTCTGCGCTAATGCTTGTGTCTCTTGGTCTGTCCCACAGCCGAATCCAGCTCGTGACCGATCCAACACCAGAACTCTCACCAGCCTTCACCATCTCCCCGGAGTTGAGCATGCACCCCAAGAAGAGCACCACTTTAATCACTATTTCACTTGTAAATAAAGCACCCTCCGGGGACTTGTTTGTAACTCAACTGTGTTTGTGTTTTCCCTCTGCCTCGCTACACAACCCACAGACATCGTCACCAAATATAAATCAGAGAGGTCAGACTTTCTCATACAGAGAATCATTTCAGTTGTCAAGTTTTGTAAAAATCTACCTATTGAAGTAATCAATCTAATACAAAAACATTGGCTAGAATTCTGCATGATAGGCTTAAATTATAGAGACATAGCAGATGAACCGAGACTGCATCAGATCGTGAAGCTGATCAATGTTGATCGAGCTGTCAGTGCAGAAATGAACAACAGGCCTAATGCAACATATAATCAGATTAAAATATGGAAAAATGATCAGATGGAAACTTGTCAATTTTCCTTAACAGATAAACAGCTCTCAGCAATATTTCAGCATGCTGTCACTTTCACATTAGACATGAAGCACACATTTACCAGCAGAAATGACATCCTGTCCTGCTCATCATTCTGTCTTCGTATAGCCGTATATACGGCTGTTACACAATCATAATCCACTAGGGATGTAAAGGTATTGTAAATACCGTCATATCGCAATATTATTTTTTTTCAATATTAGCGTAGTCGCATGACTCTGTAAAACTATAGGTC